TTCATTAATTTTCTTTTTTTCACTCAATTGTCCCAATGGAGGAATATCACATGGAGCTTATTAGCATGTGAGGCAGAGGTGGTCTGCTTTGCTTCTGCAGGCAACCTAAGAGGAGCATTCCCATAAAGCTGGTCAGGTTGTAGTGTCTGACTCAAGATCATAATCTAAATATCACAGCCAGCTGGAGCCTACACAGATCATGTCAATCAAGAATATTAACCCATCATAAGTGAGAATTGGCTCTGGTACTGTGCAGCTCTCTTTTATATTTGCTCAAGAACAGTGTAAGAGTGTTAATGTGGTCTATGCTACTGGTATAAATGAGCTAATATACAGTATAAAAGAACCAACAAGTGATATCACAAGAAACGCTCAGGTAGAGACAAGTGAAATACATCTTTGAATGAATCAAGGTAAGTTAAAAATACAGAGGAGTAGTTTCCTCTTTTTAATGAGTTTCCATTGATAGCTTCTATAATTACATTGGTGGACAGTTTTAAGGTTTTCTGTTTCCAGTATGAAATGAGCCAAGGGTGGTTGTGGCTCATGAGGTAGAGCGTGTACCCTGGCTGGAAAGTCAGTGGTTTGATTCCCGTTGTCCCCAGTCCACATATCAGTGTCCTTGGGCAACCCAAGTTGCTCCCGATAGCCAGAGCAACAACTTGTAGGGACAGAACCGCCACTGGTGTGTGTGTTTGTGAGTTGGTGCTGCAAATGACTGCCTCAGTTTTGTAGTGGTGACATACTTGGCCAATAAAAGTGATTATCATTATTATGGATTTTGATTTTCAAATATGACATTTAAAAAGGGCTGACTGGCTTTAGTATTTAAGATATTTTTTGACAGTTTGGCCATTTTAAGCAAAATTCACATGTTGCCATCTTACAAATCAGAGTACATCAATTATTTTAGATGCCATTTGTGTTTCCAGTGTCTCAGAATTAGCAAATATTTTTACATTTTTATGTTGGAAGCATTGCTGCTGTAGACCATTGTTATGTGTAATATAACAAGGTTGAATATATATAAAAATAAAATAGAGTAATCGGGCCCAGCTAACCAGGTAGGTGATGATCAGAATTGAATCCTCCTCTTCTTGGTGCTTTGATTCCTTGTACATTGATTCAAGAGGCATTTAACATTCCACTGCTTATCTGCTTGTCCTTCAAATTAGGAGAAAGTACTTAAAGGTTTTTCGGGGTTTTGATAAAAATATTTTCAGGCCTTCTTCCTTGGCAGACATTTTTGGTCTGATAAACTGAGAGGAAGCCGTGGGACTGACCCAGATCCATGGAGGGAATGCATCTCTGTGCAGGCAGCCTGAGAGCTCTTGTGACAAGCAATGATCAGTGATACATATCCTCCCTGAGTTGGCACCATTCTGTTAGAGGAAATAGGGCTGGCTTCATTAGTGAGTAAGTACTAACTACATAACTGCATATATACATAATATGCAACCCGTATCTGACAACAACAGAGGTTCCTCTACCTCTCATTTACTTAGTTTGCATTCAGGTTGTCACTTTCAGACACATTAACTTAACTGTGCCTGTGTCTTTCACTCATCATTAGCAGAATTACTCATTACTCAAGGGTATAAGGGCCACCATCGTTGATATAATGGAGGTTTTAGTGTCACACTGGATAAATGTGACTAATGATGACAGTGTCACAGTACACGAGCAAAGACATATTTGTGTTTGGCTCCCCATAAGGAAATGAATGTCCAGGGACAATTTTCTCACCAGCAGGGGCAGCATGCTATTTAGTATTCCATAACTAAGAGCATGTGCTTTAATTACTAAGGGACAGACACTGCAGAATATAGAAACATATGCTAAAACATGACGCATATGCATGTAAATTAACACACACACACCCTTACAGTATCTGCATCCAGGGGCTGTGTACAAAGTCGCCTGAGCTAATGATCTTGGAGTAATTAAGAGTAAGTGCTTTCTAACATTCATGTGCAACATGCTGCAGGTAGAGGGCTTCACTTGAAAACCTCATACTAGAAGACAGTGGTTAAGAAAGAAATGTGATCTTACCTTTATTCACCTAAAGGATTATGATAAGTAGGCTTTCCTTGCAGTACCTCTCACCCTTAGGGACCGAATGTGGAGCATAAAATGAGACGGTTGAAACATAGATTCTTCTACATGTAGTGAGAGGAAACCCTGGATAGACCTTAAACACACAAATGGGATTATGGATCAGGGGTACCTTGGGATTCCTCAGAAGATGCTGGAAGATATGGCTTGAAGTAAAAGGGTATCTGGGACTCTGTGCTTAGTTTGCTGCCACTGCATCCCAGTCCCAGATAAGAAGAAAAATATGGAATTTGTTGAGGTGACTGGAGGAAGCCAAACATAGTGCAAGCTGAGTGGCAGTTCCCATTAAGGCAACTCTCCTCCTGCCGCCACACTTTTTTTATATGCACAAATAAACCAAGTAGAAATGCAAAAATGATGTAACACTGCAGGAGACAGAAGCTATGGCATCAAGCAAAGCAATAGAGACACATTTCTAGACAGAAGGGTACACAGATCGATTATGACTGGTCTTGCAGTCAATATTCAAGATAGAATGATTCCTCTGTGTGAAAACAAACACCATGAACCATATCATCTTTCACTGCATACTGGCAAATATTTATAAACCAAAATGAGTTCAGTTCAAAACATACAGTATTTCTCTCTAATCCTTTCTAAGGGCACATATACATATGCTATTCATTTACTATTTGCAAAGTGACAAAACTTGTCATTTTCTCCATGTTAATCTAACCATATGTGAAACACTGATCTGAAATTCTTTTCTGAGAGAGAGAGAGAGAGAGAGAAGCTAATGCTTAAAATATCCTGCAGAGGATCGAGATAATCACAGCAGTTTAAACCACATCAATATTGCAATTACACTGCTCAGAAAATTAGTTATTCCTTAACTCATTCTTTACAGTCCGGTTGTTCAAGTCATCTAACAACAGCAAGGCAAACAAGCCTCAGTCATGCAGCAAAGCGAAAGTCAATATATTCATCAATGGATTTGAGTGAGATGCCTCGGGCCTATAAAAACAATGGAGTGTGTAACATTATTCCTGGCACCCTGAATGGAAACAGCCTTAAGGAGAAATATTCAGCATAAGACGGCTCCAC